GGCAACAGTGATTAGTTCTGACACGCCAGCCCAGACAGTGGGAGGTGGGAAGGGGAGTAGGAGGAGAAGACAGAAAGAAAGTAAATGCAATTTATGAACTCACATGTAATTGAGCAGCACAGTGTCTTGAATGGTCCATTGTTAATTATATAAATAGTAATAGTTTACCTGTGTGGATCTTGATTACATTGTTGAATGGTTAATGTCCTAATAAAAATGTGCTTTCAAATGCCACAATTTTCACTTCCTTTTTGCTTTTAAAGGAATTACCTTTTTAAAAAATATTTATTTAGTTCTAGACAGAGGGGAAGGGAGGGAGAAAGAGAGGGAGAGAAACATCAATGTTTGGTTGACTCTTGCATGCCGCATGCACCACACCAGGGAACTTGGCTCGCAACCCAGGCATGTGCCCCGACTGGGAATTGAACTGGTGACCCTTTGGTTCACAGGTCAGTGCTCAATCCACTGAGCCACACTAGCCGGGCAATTTCCACTTTCTCATGGTGCATTAAAAGAATTTATTCTCTAATGTAAGTGACATATGAAAAATTATACATTAAAAGTAACCATGTCATTTATAAAACCTGTCAAGAGTCATTTGTCCACAGAATATGACAGGTTTTATACCTAACTCTTAGGATTATCAGAGTTGTTTGCATCAGTCAGCTCTGTATTTTTATACTATTTTATATGTTCAGATGGAAAATGAAGCTTTTTAACCTCTAAAGATAAGAATTTCTCCACCACTTAGATTCATTCCTGCATTTGGGGAAGCTCCATCTGTGAGATGTCAGCCATGGCTTACCTAAGAAGAACTGAGGGGTGGTAACTGCCTCGGCACCCTTTGGGGAGAAGTGGTCCCTGGAGAACTCCTAAGTTTCATGAAAGAAGCAACCACATTTGACTTGTTCTTTGCTGTAGCTGTAAAGCCTGCCATTGGAGGCTTTGTTGAATAAATCAATGAATGAATTATTGTTACCCCACTGCCCTTCACATGTCAGCAGTAAAAGTAACAGATAAGGGAGCATGGTCTGATTTCCTCCTCTTAAGGTCTACTGAAGCATTTGTTCTTTTCCACAGTCTCTCAGTCATTTGTCTGCTTGTGTTTCTTATTCAGTCAGCAGTTCATGCAGCATGCCAGGCACTGCCAGGGATCTCAGCCTTGCTCAGGGAGTCCTCCAGAGTAGGCGTCATGTCTTGTTCACATTTAATACTGGTAAATGCGTCGTATGATGTTGGTATTCAGTAAGCATTCACCCCAAAAATGAATATTAGCAACTTGGAAATAGGAGAGGACCTCACTGAACTGGGAGTGGGAGGTACCGAAGCCTCATTTGCTAGACTCTTAATAATAGTCCAGAATCTTAAATATATTTTTCCCTTCTCAGTCATTTTGTGTTGTTGTTTTTTATGAATGAGTGCATTGAAACTTCCCTAAGTTCTGCATCTCACTCTTTCCCTGTACAAACAGGATGCAAAGACAGGGCTGGTTGGTGAGAAAGAATCTCTGAATATCTAGACTCCCAAACCTTTGAGAGACAGAAAGACAGATGTGTCAGTCAGCTAATGTTGTGGGATGGAGATCCAGCACTTCCTCGCTCTGCCCCGACCTGTCCCCTTTTTACATCTCCACATGTCATTATACCTGTTGCTGGTCACAACAAGAAGTCCTTCACTAAGGTGTATTGAAACTTAGACTGTGATCTTAAATCTTTTCTCTGCCTGATGGCCCTTTCTTCACTAAACACCTGGTATGCAAGCCCCCAAGTTCAGTAACTGATCTGTTCATTAGGTTCTAGCCTTTCTAGAAATGACAAATTGATTGAAAATTTAAAAAAATACAAACTTCTGTGATGCATATAGTTGGATTTTTGTTGGTTTTCTTAATAGTTTTAGTGAGATACAATTCACATAACACAAAATTGACCCTTTTAAAATGTGCAATTCAATGGTTTTTAGTACATTCACAAAACTGTGTAACCATCACCACTATCTAATTTTCGAGTATTTCATCACTCCAAAAAGAATTTTAGAACCTTTTTATCACCCCTATACCCATTACCAGTCTCTCCTTATTGTTTTCTCTCTCCAGCCCCTGTAACTGCTCATCTCAGTCTGTCTTCCTGTATGTGGCTATTCTGACCATTTCATGTGCATGGAATCACACCACATGTGGCTTTTGTGTATGGCTTCTATAAGTCAGCCTAATCTTTTCAAGATTCATCCATGTGATAGCATGTATCTGTACTTCAGTCCTCTTTGTGAGTAACTAATGTCCATTGTACAGACACCACATTTTGCTTACCCATTTATGATCACAGCTTTGGGATACACATGGTTGTTTGCATTTTCTGGGCTATTATGAATAATGCTGCTATGACATGCACGTACAAGTTCTGCATGGGCGTACGTTTTCATTTCTCTTGGGCACATACCAAGGCTTAGCATTGCAAGATCATCTGGTAATTCTATTTTTAACATTTTGAGGAACTACCAAACCGCACCATCATAGTCCCACCAGCAGTGTATTAGTGTTGCAGTTTCTCTACAGCTTTACCATTCTGTTCTTTTTATTTTAGTCATCCTACTAAGTATGCATTGTATCTCATTGGAATTTTAGTTTGCATTTTCCTAATGATGATGAGCATCTTTTTATGTGCTGTTGGCCATTTGTGTAACTTTTTTGGAAAAGTGTCTATTCAGATCATTTGGCCATTATTTAATTGGGTTATTTATCTTTTTATCTTTGAATTGTGTTCTTTATATGTTCTTCATGCAAGTCTCTAATAAAATATATAATTTTGCAAATATTCTCCCATTCTATGGGAGAATATGCAAATATTCTCCCAAAAAATTGGGATATTTTCCCAATTTTCTTGGTATATTTTGAAGCATGAAAGTTTTTAATTTTGATAAAGTCTAAATTATTTATTTGTTTGTTTATTTGTTTGTTTGTTTTTGCCATGTGTGCTTTCAGTGTTATGTAGAAGAAGCCACTGTCTAATCCAGGATCTGAAAAATTTACTTTTGTGTTTTCTTTCAAGGTTTTTACAGTTTTCTTTTTTTTAAGATTATTTATTTATCATTATTTTTATTTTTAGAGAAAGAGGAAGGAAGGGAGAAAGAGAGGGAGAGAAACGTCAATGTATGGTTGCTTCTCATGCACCCCCTACTGGGGACCTGGCCCACAGGGGGTGTGCCCTGACTGGGGATCAAACCAGCAACCATCCGGTTTGCAGGCCAACACTCAATCCACTGAGGTGTACCAGGGCAGATTTTTACAGTTTTCTTACATAAAAGTCTATGATCCATTTGAGTTAATTTTGTATGCCATGTGAGGTAGTGGCCCAAATCCATTCTTTTGAATTAAGGTATCCAGTTTCCCCAGCACCATTTATTGAAAAGATGTGCTTTTCCTGTTAAATTGTCAGAGCAACTCTGTCAAAAATCAAACGACTATAAGTGGAAGGGTTTATTTCCAGACTTTGCATTCTGTTCATTGATCTGTATGTCTGTCTTTACGCCAGGGCCACACTGTCCTGACTACTTCAGTTTTGTAAGTTTTGAAATTAGGAAGTGTGAGCTCTCCAGCTTTGTTCTTCAGGACTGTTCTGGGTCATCTGGGTTCCTGGTATTTTCCTGTGAATTTTTAGATCACCTTGTCAATTTCTTTGAGAAAAGACAGCTGGGATTTTGATAGGGAGGGGATCAAATCCATATATATTAATTGGGGGAGTATCGCAGTCTTAACAATATACAGGCTTGTGGTTCATGAGCATAGGATATAGGTCTTTCCATGTATTTAGATCTTCAGTGTCTTTCAATGGTGGTGTGTAGTTTTCAGTGTACAGGTCTTATGCTTCTTTTGTTAAATTTATTTCTAAGTATTTTATTCTTTCTGATGCTATTGTAAGTGGAATTCTTAACTTTATTTTCAAAATGTCCACTGCCATATATGTGGGGATTTTTGTTTGATTATTATTTCATTATGGTAAAATATACATAACATAAAACTTAGCATTTTAATTATTATTAAGTGTACAGTTCCCTGGCATCATCTAAGTATTCACAATGGTGTGTAACCATTCCCAGTATCTATTTTAAGAACTTTTTCATCATTCCAAATAGAAACTCTGTACCCATTAAGCAATGGGTACCTCACTCTGTGTTCCCCTCCTCCCAGCTCATAGTACTTTCTACTTTCTGCCTCTGAATTTGCCTACTTTAGGTACCATGTGTATGGAGAATTATACAGTATTTTCTTTGGGCTTATTTCACCTAGTGTAATGTTTTCAGGGTTCATCCATGTTGTAGCATGTATCAGAATGCTACTTATTTTTATGGCTAAGTAAGAGTCCATTGTTTATACATTTTCTTTATATTTTTATCTGTCGATGGATCTTGGGTCATTCCCAGCTTTTGGTTGTTTTGAGTAATGTTGCGATTAACATTGCTGTACAAGTATCTGTTCAAGTCCCTGCTTTCAGTTGTTTTAGATGTGCACTTAGGATGGGATTACTCCATCATTTGGCCATTCCACGTTTAGCTTTTTGAGGAGCAGTGAAACCTTCTACAGAAGATGCAGCATTTTATGCTCCTACCAGCAATGCATGTGGGTTTCAATTTCTCCACATCCTCACCAATACTTGGTATTTTCTACTTTTTTAAATTAATAATCACCTTAAAGGGTGTGATACTGTTTTTAGATTAAGAAGGAAAAGTGCATCTAACAATCTTTTCATGACAGAACAGCTACTCCCTCAGACAGATACATGCAAAGTGTGGTTCACAGAAAAAAATAAGACAAGAAAACTGTGGATTTTCTGTATTTATCAGCTTCATTTTCTTATTATACTTGTAATTCCCATACTTTGTCATAGTTGAGGATAAACAATTAAAGGGAAGCTGGGCTTTTAGAAAGAGAATATTGAAAACTTTTATGTATATTATTTTAAAGTTTGGAAAATATAATGCTTTCTATCTTTTCTATGATGTTGAAGACAACGGAAACTATTGTAAAAACCCTCCCACACAAGACTGAAGAAATGGACAGGTATTTCTTGAATCCTTCTCTAATGTCGTCAGAATGTTCACCAACAACCTTGAAGAAGAAAGCAGAAGACATGAGCGACCTCCCTTCTGAGAGTCAAAGAAGCATACCACTTGCCGTGACGGATGCCTTGGAGCATATCATGGAACAGCTCAACGTTCTGACACAGGTGAGTTGGCTCGCTGCACCCTGGGAGGGAGGGCACACAGAGCAGGCCTGGTTACAGCGGCCTGTGAAACTAGCAGAGCAGGGGGATTGTTCTTTCTCAGAAAGGCGAGCTCAAGGTGGCAGTCAGTCTAGTAAGGCCTGCTCTGCTGAGCTGCTCTAGGAAGGTCTTGTGGAAATAGGTCGTGGCCCCTCCATGCCCTCATCCGCCCGTGTCCACAGCGCTCGATCTTGTATCCAGGGGCCAGAAGGGAGTGGTAGAGACTATGAAGAGTGGTGGCCCCAGCTCTCCATGCGGTAAGAGTGTGTGATTCTGGGCAATAAAGTTTTACCCTAAGAATTTTTGATGTGTTCAGATTAGGATGTTATCAACAACACATTTAATGCCATAAAACAAACGTATTGGGATTAACTGTTTCTGGTTAGGATGATAGTGTTTACAGTTCTTCATTCTGAAGATATTCTCACTGTCTGATACATAACTTCCTTCATTCCAAAGCTTCTTACATTGATGCTGGGTTCTTCTGAAAGTGATGGATTTTGCATTTGCACTTTAGAGTCTTCCTTTGACCTTTCATGCCAGTTTACCTTCTCAAAGAAGGAATACTATGGATGTCTTCCCACTCTTGGTCAGGAGAGATAGATGGCATTTAGGGGAAGTGGTGGGTTGAAGTTGATACACCAAAGGTTTCTCTTCCAGCTTTGCTGATTCAGTGTTTCTTTTGAAGTTTTCTGTTGTTCCTCTTTGATATGTAGACTGAGAACACCAGTATTCGTCAGAGCGGACATGTCGCAGTTACACAGAAAGAGAGGCTGTAGTGTGATCTAGAGAGGCGTTGATTACTTTTTCAGGTTAAATATTCCAACTTGAAATAGCTCTTGCATAAAAATCATCTAATTCTGTTCTCCCCCTGGCTGTACATTATCACCTGAACAGTTCAAAGCATGCAGATGCCCTGTTCTCATCTCCAGAGAATTCATTTGCATTGGTCTGACCTCAGTCTTCCAGTCACCCATTTGATTTGGTGTGATGGCCAGGGTTGGCAGCCACTAAGTACAGGGTGACGTGTCCAGCTTCGTGCCAAGTTCAGTTTGGGTTGTCTCGTTTCCCATATTGCCATCGGTTCCTCAGCTAACCTACTGCCTGCGATGGCGGGTCCTTGTGAGGAACTCTCCCCCGTGAATCTTTCCATTCTTCACACTTTCAGCGTCATGACCGATTTATTTTTACCTAACTTATGGATAAATGAATCACTTCAAGCTTTACGGAGTGTCTGATCTTTTCTCGGTAATTTTGAGTAGCCAACTGGCTTTTACGTATGCAAGTGGTTAAAAGCAGGCACAGCACACTTGCAAAATGGGAACAGCGAATCTGTGGGCAAGTGCCGGGTACGATGAACATGCTCTGATTCACTAACTACAGATGGCTGAACCTCTAATTCACTGGCAGTGTTTATAACTCTTTACTGAACTATAATTAGAAATAAAGTGAAATTATGTTTTAGATGGTAGATAAATGGAGTCTACCACTGTTAACGGTATTGATAATATTCTTAACAGCTTTAGCACGTAGATTGTGATAATGTATGTGAAGTATCTGGCAAAGTGCTTGACGCATAGCAGGTGATCCAAAAATGGTAGAATAGCCCTGGCTGGTGTGGCTTAGTGGATTGAGCACCAGTTTGTGAACCAGTTCGATTCCCAGTCAGGGCACATGTCTGGGTTGCAGACGAGGTCCCCAGTAGGGGGTGCGCAAGAAGCAACCAAACATTGATGTTTCTCTCTCTCTCTTCCCCCTGTCTAAAATTAAATAAATAAATAAATAAAATATCTATTATTAACAAAAAGATAAAGAAATGGCAGAATATATTGCCAGCATCATCACTGTTACTTTTAAATTGTCATGATCTATAGTATTAAATGATGACAGTTTTAAAACATTAATTTCCTTTCGAGGCTGATAGGACATTATCTTGAAACTTGCTGACTAAAGTAGCCAAGCACTTATTCAGCCTTTCCCCTATGAACTCTTCCACTGGGTAAGCAAATAGTAGATGAGAGAAATGGCTCTTATTTATAAATTATACTTATCAACATATTTTTAATGATGGAACTAGAATATCATCATTTACAGTCCCTAAGAATTAATAGATCTTGGCATTGAGTGGTTACTAACATCATGAAAAGAGAACAACCAAACCTTATTAATGTGTCTTCTAATAGAAGAATAGACCACCACGTGCAGTCTTACCAAGGGCTCTAACCTAAGTCTTATGAACCTGAATCCAGTTGCCCACTGACAGAGAGTAAGGAGGGTAGAAGAACGGACTGCACTGTACCCTGTGTGTGCCAGTCCTCAAACCCACACTGGTGCAGACTCTGCATTCAAATGGCCAGAGTCTGACAACAGACAGCTTGTAAAGAAAAGAAAGGGAAGGGATAGGAGCCTATTGAAAATAACCAACTTTAGCCCTGGCTGGTGTAGCTCAGTGGATCGAGCACTGGCCTGTGAAGCAAAGGGTTGCCAGTTCGATTCCCAGTCGGGGCACATGCCTGGGTTGCAGGCCAGGTCCCCATTAGGGGACACATGAGAGACAACCACACATTGATGTTTCTCTCTCACTCTTTCTCCTTCCCTTCCCCTCTCTCTAAAAATAAATAAGTAAAATACTTTTAAAAAGAAAAGAAAAAAACAACTTTAAATGGTATATCAAATCTTGAAAATGGATTAGGACAAAATTATAGTGTCTAGGGATGTCACCTGGAAGATAAAATAAAAATATGCAAGAACGTGATTGCTGTAATGGTCAGGATAGTGACTGTTATGGGGGAGGGCAGGAGGGCGGTTCTGACGACAGCTGGAAAGGCGCCGTGCAGTGGCTGGCAGAGTGCTAGTGCTCGACCTGGGTGCTGATGCTAAGACTGTGTCTTTCATGAGAATTCACTGTGGCACATGTTTTACGCAAGTTCCCAAATTTGTTTTATTTTATAATAAAAGTTTTTAAAGATGTAAACAGTGGAAGATGAAGCCAATATCACAAATAAAATTAGATTTCCCAAATTTGAGAGTAGCCCTGTGTGTATCTGTGTAGCCGTGTACTCAGCACTGGCCGAAGGAGTTAAGCTGGCTGAGCTTCGCCGTGCCCGTGTGCGGCCGACTGGAGCGCCGCCCGGGCGTCGTTCCGCCTGGTCTTCCTAACGACCCTTAGCAGTGCTGTCGTCCTCTTCCGGGCATGAGAGCTGGTAGCACTTTTTACATTTTCCACGTAAACTAGGTATTCAGCTCTCTGCGGTAGTATGGGTATGATCTGTCATAGGTTGGTTGTGATCGAATGACCGGTGACGACATTAAAGTAGCGCCAGGGCTGGGCATGTGACGTTCTCCCCTCGCCCCTGCTCCCCACACGCCCACGTGGCTTGTGGTGCCACCACTTACACTGCTGCCCGTGGCCTCTTTCCTGGCATTGATGTTTTAGAAGGTCAGACATAAGAATTGTCTGCAGGGGTCTGTTATTTTATTCTATTTCTCCTCAAATGCATCCATTTGGGTTTTTCTTTTCGTCAAACTTCTTGACAGTGTTTTGCCCTGTGGTAGGACCCAGAAGTAGAGCAAGTTCTAGGGCCCATTTTTGATCCGACTTCCTGGCAAAAGGGTGGACATTCCAAATATAAAAAGGATCTCCTCTGCAGAGATTATCATCATCATCCTCACCGCCAGGTTGCCAACCACTGATTCTTTTGTCCTCCTTTTTGCAGACTGTTTCAATCTTGGAGCAGCGACTGACTTTGACAGAGGATAAACTGAAAGACTGCCTTGAAAATCAGCAAAAACTTTGCAACGCCATCCAACAGAAAAGTTAAATAGAAGAGCGTGAGCAGAGGCGTGATACATGAGCACATGTGCATGGACAGAGGAAGGTAGGGCGTGAGGCTCCACGTAACACAACCATGTGCTAATTATCATGGCATTTCTCACAAGGGTGACCAACAGAATAAAGGCAGGAAGAGGCATAATTAAGGATGAATTTAAACACACAAATCGATGTCAAGAACTAATTCAAATCATTATCATTTACAATTGCAGTAATAAAGTGATAAGCATTCAAATGGCTAAGTTCCCCATGTTATTTTAATGTCAGTTTTCATTTCTAAATTCTACCAGGAAAGTGACCAAATCTCTGGATTTCATTATTAAATCATTTACCAGATTAACCATGTTCATGCAATTTTTAAAGCGATTAATGAATTTTTTTATTGAATACCCTTGGGGTAAAATAATTCACTTACCTCTAAAATAGCATCATATATGCAGAAAATGAGTTAATGATCTGTCATGTGTTTCTTTCAGTTCTAAGAAAATATCCTTCCTTACCAATGCCTTGAAAAGATGACCTCACAAAAATTCCCAAAACACAACTTCCACAGCAAGAATACTTATTTTCATTAGCAACATTACATGTACAATGTAGGCCAGTGTATTTTCATTTAACATACGGTGTATACAGTTTACCCTGTGACCAACCTGAAAGAAAATGAAGCTAAGAATATGTGAAGCATGCATCTTTTCTTTCATCAATGAATGTGCTGAATGATGTGAGTCGTATTCTAACCTGTGGTCCCAGTTTACAAAGATTTGTGGTCCCATGCACAAAGATTACGTTAACTCTGCTTTCATTATGCTCAAAGCCAGAACGATGCAGCAACAGAATTTCTAAATATACACATGTGCATGTTCACATGCTTCAGAAATGCTGCTTTGGGTGATTCTGGCAGCTGACTAATGGGTGCTTAAAGAAAAACATTGGCATCCCTGTCTTCCTATTTTTTTAATAGAGTTTTGACTTGAAACTAAATGAAAATGAGCCAGGCATACTAAAAATCTTAGTTATGAGTTAAGAATTTTGTTTTATCTTAAGTAAAATAAGAGATTAAGTTAAAGAAAACCATTAATTTTAGCTTGCTTTTCTGCCAACCTAAATCAAGGACAAGGTAGGTGAGGTGTGAGAAGATAGGGACACCTGTGACTTCGGTAGGTGACATGGGCAAAGGGAAAGTGAAGTCCTGTTTCTGTAGGAGTCCAGAAATTTTTCTCAAAGCAATTTCAAAAATTGCTTTGTATCCGTGAGGTTGTTTTTCACTTCATTGTGTTTCAAGTGCCTTCTTATATTATATAAAGTGTGAACTTCTAGGCATTTTCAAGAGTTTATACAGACTAAGTGGCATTGTATTTTTGTAACCTCACTGAGAAGACTAAATCAGAAATGAAATGTCATACTGATTTTGTTTACTCTTTTTTATACTTCAAACAATAAAGACATTTTACCTATTTTAAAAAGTTTTCTTTTTTTTAATGATTGAAACCTAGAAATACTAAACTTGTTATTATCTAGCTGACTCAATTTTTATGTGCATAACAGCCTCCTGGAAAACTTGTCAAAACGGTTTCCTGGGACCCATTCCCGGAGTTTATGATTCACTAGTTTGATGGGGCCCAATAGTTTGCATCTCTAAGAAGCTCACTGGTGAGGTTGATGTTTGTTGCCCGAGGCCCACACTTTAGAAACCATTGGTCTAGCTGTAACCACCGCTTACAGCTTGATGTTGCCACATATTTTTAGGCATCACAAACCTTTATAAGTGATGATGTAAATTAAAATGCCTTGAAACTTTTTCAAGAGAGTCATTTAATTTCTCCCACTTCTCCCCCCAACCCCAATTTTTTAAGCTTTTGCCGCTTCTCCTTGGTATTTACCAGATTCCAGCTTCTCATCTTTCCTAACTTATATATTCAGTTACCTGAGCAACATCTCCAACTGGGAAACTGTGGGGCATCTCTGAGTATGTCCAAAAGTAAACTCTGCAGCACTGCCACCAGCCAGTTCCTTTCTCCCCTGGTCTTCCCACCTCAATAAATAGCAGCTCCCCTTCCAAGTGCTCAGGCTGAAGACCTCGAAGTCATCCTTGACTCTCTTTTCTTACACCCCACACTCCATTCCTTCAGCAAACCTTGTCAGAACATATGAAGTACCCCCATCACTTCTGACCACCTACATCACCCACTATGAGTGCTCACCTTCCCACTCCTCTTGGACCTGGCACGCCTTCCCCTTGAGTCACCCTCACTCACCAACCTCTGGCCACAGTGGCCTCTTTGCTTCCCTTTGAAGGAGCAAACAGGCTCCCACCCGAGGCATACGTACTTGCCATGTCCTTTGCCTGGAACACTCTGTCCCAGGCATCTGTCATACCATTCCAGCCCTGCTCACAGGCTGCTGCCCCCTCAGAGGGGCTCACCTTAATGGTCCTGTATGAAATCGTCACTCTCCCTACACTCCCTGCATGTCTAACACAACGCAGTACAATGCAGTTGCATTTCTGTCTCCTCCACTGTGATCTGGCTTCTCAGAAAAGCAGTAACTGTCCTCATTGGATTCTCTTCATCTACTCAAGGGGCTTTAAAATATCGCCATTCATTTCACTTAGAGACAAAAGGAGTAAAAACAAGACTGAATGGACTAGAAGAAATAACATTTCTATTTTAGATGCTTTAGATCTAAATTTAGATATAAATTTTAGATGCTTGATATCTGGGACTGAATGGGCATTGCTCTGATCTGCTATTTGTTGTACAGATCAGTAGTTATATGCACAGTCTTTAAAGCCAGAAAGACTTGGGTACAAATTCTGGCTTTGCTTTTCTCTAGTGGTGTGACTTAGGAAAGTTATTCACAAAGCTCAAGTTTCCTTGACTATGAAAGATGAAAATAGTAATATGAATTATGTTTGTGAAATGATTAATACACTCTCTATAACATAAACGTAGCTATTACTCCTATTAATCATTTTGTTCATGTAAACAGCATGTCTGAGTAATATGATTTCAACTATAACTGTTATGGGAAAGATACAGGGACTAAACTAATCTGAAGTGGGATGGACCAAAAAAAAGGGGGGGTCCTATGGAAAGCAACTTCACTGGGTGATCTGGGTGATCATAAATTCTGGACTGGGTGGTCTCGGCGGGCAGTCACACCCAGTCACATGACTTCTTTGCGTGGCCCTGGCCAAGCCCCTCAGTCGGTTAGAGTATCATCCCAATTTGCAAAGGTTCTGGGTCGGTCAGGGCGCTTGGAATGCAGAAATAAGTGGAACAGAGAATTGATGTCTGTCTGTCTCTCTCACACTCTCAAAATAAAGAAATAAAAATTGAAAAAACAAAGCTTATGTTTGCCTTTAGCCATGTCCCTAGCTTCCGTGTACCTAGGTTAACACAGCTTTGAGGTGCCCCCTTTCAGACCCTGCCTTCCAATAGTCGCCCACCCTTCAGTGCTTAACGCTCTTGTGATCCAGTGCTGGTCTGCTTTCTCCCACCTTCCCGTCCTCTCCTTTACATTCCCTCCTTAATTTCAGATGCATAAGCGGCAACACTGTTATTCTTCAGAGCATTGGAGACCTTGCTCCCTGGCATGTCATCAGTTTTCATTCAAACTCATAAAAATTCTCTACCAATTTGGAAAGTTCTTAGTAACAGATGAAAGTGTGGTATTTAATCCAAAGTTAACACATATTTTAAAAGTTCAACAATAATAATAACTATGTTTAGGAGATTAGATTTTCATACACAGAAAACCTCAAGGTTCGGGCCAAATGCTGGCCATTGAGCAACTCCAGGGGGGCTCAGCCTGAAAGTGCAATTGCCATCATTTTCCAAATACAGATGAAATGGGAGTGGGGGAAGGGCCTGAAATGTGGACCAGCCTAGAACTCACACTGTCCTTCTTCGACCACGCAGAGAACGGGTCTTCCTGGTTTCCTGCCCGGTCTAACAAGGCAGTCCAGATCCTCACTTAACTTTTCATTCGTGTTGAGAACAAACTTGGAAGTCTATTATTCCCAAGGTGAATTCTATGCATCTGAAAGGACTGAGAGAAAAACAATCTGTTCCTGGTTAGCTAAAAGAAAAAAATATTCTAATATTTGGAAGTATTGACAAATAATCATGCTCAACGCAGTAACAAATTTAATTATAAAAACAGATGGGCCTATCCATAATATTCAAGTGGAATCATACCATCAATACAGTACATGCTTCATTTCTCATGACGGTTTCTACAATGTTTTGCCTTAGCAGGTCACGAGGTTTTAATGTTATGCACCAGAGGATTTATGAATGTACAGTGAATCTAGGAACACAGTGTAATTGCCAGGTTGTCCTCTATAAGCCCCAACTGTGAGTCAGCCAAGCCACACAACGGCAGCCTGGACTCACTAGTAAAGTAGGTCAATGGCTTGCCAACAGGCAAAGGTTAATCAGGGAGGGGACAGTGCGCACAGCTCCTGTTTTCTCTGCATAGTACATCAGTTGCATTTTCTTTAGAGTCCAGTCTCAAACTTAATTCTGTTAAAAATAAAGACTCTGATTTGAGATTTGCTCATAGTAAAGTAGATTTCACAACAAAAGCAGTAGGAGAAATAACTCGATCATCTAAAACTTCAAAATTTATAAAGCAAAATACCTGAATAGAGAAGAATGACAAATGCAACACACAATTGGGAATCGGAAGTTTAGAAGTAGAATTTAGTTAATCCATGTGATGTAAAAGTACACAAAATTAGTAAAGCAGATTTAACATATATATGAGCAAATATGGTTTTTTTGCCTGTGTATTTTAAATAAAAATTTACCATGTTCTGAACCACATGATATGTCACAAGTCTATAAGAGAGTAAATAATAAAATTAGAAATAACAAAATTAAATGCTCAATCACATAGAAAACATGGAAAAGAAAACTTAAAATCCACTAAATGATATTTGGGCCAGAGACAAGCCCCCCAAATGCAGGGAAGAGCATTTTTTAATACAAAGAGAAATGGGCTATATCAAATTAAATGGGATACAGCCAAAACAATGACAGTATGAACCAAGCATCTTCCTTAAAATGTTAAGTGTGGTCACAAGGGAAAGAAAACTACAGCGAAGTTAAAATAAGAAATATGAAAAATAATTCCTCTTTGAAAATTAATTTTTAAATTTTACAATATTAATTTTATAAAGGGGGGAGAGAGAAAGAAACAGATTTGTTGTATTATTTGGTTGCTTCTTGTATG